TTTGTATTCGTAAAAAATCTTAATAATTTTGAATTAGCACAAAAGTTTAAAGAAAAATATGTTATTCATTTACAAAAGGTTTTGAGTCTTTATAAGCTAAAAAAACAAAATATTGATTTGATGCAAATTGATTCTGTGGAAAAAATTCAACTTCTATTATTTTATTATACTGAAAATATATTTTATCAACAATTTATGAAATTCTTGATTATTAATATTTCTAATTATATATTTTTTCTAATCTGTCAAACAAAATGACCGATTAGTTCATTATTTATTCAATAACAATGACATTCAATATTGCTATTGATGGTCTAACCGCTACTGGAAAAACTTCTATTGGCTATTCTTTAGCAAAACGATTAAATTTTAATTTTATCGATTCTGGTTTATTTTATCACTATTTAGCTTACTACAATATTAATTTGACAAATTTTAATCGACATACTTATGATACTCTAATTATCTATTCCAACTCTAGTACATTTTCTTTCCTCGATATTTCTCAAAAAGCGTCTGAACTTTCAAAAGATGAAGAAATATGATCGTTAATTAATCAAGAAATCAAGAAATTAACGAAAAAAAAGAGATTTGTTGTAGTTGGACGAGATGTAACAACCAATATTCTTCCTGATGCGGAATTTAAAATTTTATTATCAGCTGATTTTGAGACGTGTTTTGGTTGATGTGTGACGCAATTAGTTGAAGAAAATCCTCAAAATATTTTATATGACATCATCACACATGACAATGTCTCTAAACCTTTAATCAATTGTTTAAAAAAGGTTTCAAAAGAAATTAACATGTCGGATTTTGAACCTTTTAAGTTATAGAAAAAATTTTACAAATAATCAAAAAGAAAAATTCTTTTAAAAAATGTTTAAAATTTTTTTTTGTTTTCATATTATTTTTATTATCATTTTTATTAAACCAATACTCTGATTAGTGCTTTTACACCAATTAGAAATTTAACTATATAACAATCTTTTAAATATGTTTACTTCTCCTTCTACTTCTACTTCAGTCAAACGAACATTCGATCAATCCGAAGACCTCTCCACCATGATAATAACGATTAAAAAAAATTATAATTATTATCTCGACTTATCAAATTGGCAACTCAACACCGAAGTTGATGAAGATGCATATGTTGAGGCATTTCCTCTTCTTTCAGATCGTATTAAATTTATACAAGATTTATTTTTATGAAGCAAGAAAAATTGTTTTTTCTCGTATCGAAAGAATTCTTCCTAAAAAAAAAGATTATGAATCATTCGATGGTATTCAAGAATGGCGAACTACCATATTGCAAGGTCCTAAATCTGGTGCAAAAATCGCTTTTGATAAGTTAGAGCGTTATGAGAAAAAATTGAACAGTAGTAACAAAAAAAGAAAATAAATTAAATTAAATTATTCATCTTATCTTCTTTTAAATTTATCAATTATTTTTCATATTTTTATTATTAAATTATTATCTTATCTTCTTTTAAATTTATCAATTATTTTTTTTATATTTTTATTATTATTAAATAAATATTCTGATCAGTACATCTTACCGATCAGAAATTTAACTATATAAAACAAAATGAAGCAAATTCGAAACAATCTTTATCATATAAAACATCTACAACATCAATATAATTTCTTTACAACACAAATCTCAATAAAAAATAAACTCATCTTAATTCATAAAAGTTTATGTATTAAAAATTAGATAAATTACTCCGATACGCGTCTATATATTAGATCATCTTTTGCACCTGTTCTATATTATTGTCCATATTGTAATCATTTTCGAAAGATAAATTTTTGCAAACACTGTAAAAAATCTATCGATGATGATGATTTTGATTCCGAATCTAACGAATCTGCAACATTATCTTCAATAATAATAATAACTGAAGAATTTCAAAAATCCCTTAAAAACAAAGGAATTTTTGACAATGTGATTGAAAAATATTCTGCAAAATATATTACATCTCAATCTAGAACAGTGGAAAATAAAAATATCTTTTGGTCTGACAATGAATTGCAAATGGACGACAGTGACAATGAATTTATTATTTAAATATTTTAAATATTTTTATTTTTTTTGTATATCAGTATTTTTTAATTCTGTTCAGTATAAATATACTGGACAGAAAATTTTCTGTTCATCTTTTTTTGTAAAAAATGGAATCAGAATACAGATTACTTCTTAGCAATTATTCGCTCACTTGCAATCTTGAAGAAAAATATCTTATGACTTTATCTCATCTTATCTTAATGGAAAAATATAGCATTCCCGTTAAAGAAACGAAAAATGCAATTGAAACTCAACTTGTTATTCAATCAAATTTGAAAAAAAAATATAAAGAAATGATTACATTTTACGAGATCGACAGTTGAGAATTTTCTTTAGTTGTACCAATAACTTCAAAAAAGCAAATTCCCATCAGCAAAAGAATTAATCCTAATAAAGATTATTTCGATTATTATCACGTACCAACTGGAAAAAAGAAAGAGATGAAACATTTGACGAATGCGCGATACGTGAAATGAAGGAATAACAATTAAAGAATTAATTTATGTTGGAATAAATGAAAGGTTTAGAGTTTTTCCAGATAGAAAGGAATGTCTATGTCGATGTGCCATATATTATACCTATATTGATGAACAGATTCCAATTCGAATTGAACCTGATAAGCACGACGAATGGATTTTTGTAGATCCGAAGGATCTTTCTAAATATAAATTAACCGACACTCTTTCTCTCTTTCTTCTATCTATAATCAAAATTATAAACAAAAAATTTAGAAATATTAATCAAAAAAATGTAAACTTTCTCCCTCTGAAGAAATTTCTGATAAAATAAAATCATCTAAACCTGTTGTTTTAAACGAAATTGACAACACGTCCCCAATTGATAGTTCTTCTTCTGAAGCATAATTTTTTAATTATTTTAATTCAATTATTTTATCAATATATATTTTTATTTTTTAATAAATTTATTAAATTTTCTGTTCTGTATGTCAACATACCGAACAGACTTTTATTTGTGTAAATGTCTTCTAACTGGCAAAAAAAATTTAAAAATTTTGAAATCATTACTGATTGGGAAAAATATAAAAATCCTGATAATTCAAGACGAAAATTGAACGAATATCGTCTTATCAAGATCGATTTTAAACTTTATCTAGAAATCAAGGCATCAAACTCGGATTTAACATTTTTAGCTGATCTTGACAATTTCAATCTGATTCAAACTTACACATGGCATTTTTCGAAATATAGAAACACGTATTATATTATTACAAATATACATACAAATATACAAAATACAACGAAAAAATTTCATAGAATGATTCATCCGGATTGAAAAATATCAGACTATATCAACCGAAATGGACTTGACAATCGCAAATGTAATCTTAGAGAAACAACACCAAGAGAAAATGCATTAAATTGCAAATTATTTAAACATAATACTTCTGGATTTAATGGAATTTGTTTTTATAAAAAAAGAAAAGGCTGAATTTTTCAATATTATGAAAATAATAAACGTAAAATAAAATGGTTTCTTGTTAATAAGAAACGAACATATGAACAAGCAAAAAATCAATGTATAGATTTTAAACTAGCTTATAATAAAATGACCAGAAATCTTAATGGCTATATTGTTCAATAAAATCTAATCTATTCTGTGCAAATAGTACAGAATAGATTTTTAATTACGTAATTATGACAACTACTAATATTATTCTCGAAACACCAGAAAAAAAGGTAAGATGCATGTCATTTTACTTAGTATATATGAGATTCTGAAGTTACGCTGTCATACTGAATTAGGAAATATTTATGAATTCATCTTTATTAGTTAGATGATAATGAATATTTCTATTAATTTGGGAGAAACTAAAAGAACTCGGGTCTTTTGCATACATTGGTGAATAAGAATCTTTTGCTAATATTATTTTATTCATCTTAGATCTCTAACTACAAATCCGGGCATAAATTTGAAAGCGCGGTTCGAAGATTACTCGAGTCAAATATGATTTTGGCCAACAAAATAAAAGTAAATCATGGTGATGGTGGTATTGATATTATCGCTACTTATAAGAAACATACTATTTTGATTCAATGCAAAAATGTTGAATCTCCAATTACAGTCAATATTGTGAAAGATTTTTAATCGTCAATTTCTCGCTACTTCAATCCAATCGGATTTATTGCTTATAACGAGAAAAAAATAAAAACTAAAAATTTTGTTACACATAAGGCGAACAAATGGATCGCTTCGTCTGAACAATTTATTAAAATTTGTAATGAAACCAAGATTTGCAACATTATCAAAGAATGTTGTAAAGAAGATCTTTATCAACCTCAGTTGGAACTTTTTGATTTTACGGCCAATAATTTTGTTTATAATGAAGTTAGAAGTCAGAATATTTATATTAAAAAAATTGTAATCAGAAAACGCTATAATCCTTATTAACTATTCAGTCAAATTTGACAGAATAGTTTTCTAATTACATGTTTACCTCTTTTTTTTTAACCATGAACAAAAAATTGTAACTTACTTTGCAAATTTAGAATCTGATATTAAAAAATTAAAAAATATTTTACATGATAATAAATATAAAAAATCTGACTCTTTCTCATCACAAGAAAAATGTTTTCATTTTCAAAATGATTATGACACGACAAATCTTCAAGTTGAAAAAGAGTTTGAACCTGAATATGGAAGAAAAATTGAACAAGAAACATTGAGATGGTTAAAATGTAAATATCCAGAACAAATTAAAGTTGTCAACAAGAAATCTAAAACAAAACAACCGAAGGTCATTATTTTTACTGGTCCAATAGCCGTTGGCAAAACCACATGCTCAGATAAATTAGCTGAATATCTTTGATCACAAAAATTTACGGTTCTTCAATATGTTGAAGCATCTCTTGATATCGAGCGTGAGCTTAAACTCTTTTATAAGGATGTTGAAAAAAATGCTATATTTTTTCAATATGTTATTCTCAATTACTATAAGAAAAAAGTAAAAGAGATCAACAGATTGTCCGATTACGATTATATAATTCTTGATCATACACATCTCAACACAGAAATTTTCACCCTCGCCAATATTACCGATGGTGACTTTTTAGAATATTTTAAAGAAGTGCATGACAGTATCTCCCCTATTAAAAATGTTGAAAAAATCTTTTATCTTAATTGTGAAAAGAAAACGATAATTGATTGTCAAAAAATACGATTCCAACAGAGGTGCATTTACGAGAAAGTTGATAGTGAATATCTTTATAAAATTTGTGATTTCTATGATCAGCATATCGACAGACTTTATCCCGAGCATATTAAAATATCAACTGAATGTGATAAAAACGAATATATTAATATTTTAAAATCTCATTTTAATTAATATTTTTTTTGTTTTGAATCGATAAATCTTTATTTTTTTTATTCTCTTATTCTTTTTTTTTTTATTCCTTTATAGCTGTATTTATTTAGTTAGTGCATCTTGCACCAACTAAAAATTTATTCATGTATCTCATATTCAAGCTATTCTAATAATTTATCAAAAAAAAAAAAAATGAATATCACACGCCAACATTCTATCATCCAATCAGATTCTTCATATTTTTTTATCTACAACGCGACAGATTCATTTACAAAACAAAAAAAATACATATTATCGATTAATGCTGTTCATGAAAATGGTACCAAGTTGAATCTCAATTTTGATATCGGTTATCCATTTTTTGATATCAAACTCGATGGCACACATAATTTTATGTTTTATCTCAATGATTTGGCGGATAAAGAAATATTTCCTAGCCACTATGAAATACTTAAATCTGTTCAGCCATTCGATTCGGGTGCAAAGTTTGATTTTATGCGTATATATTTTCTGAATTATACGGAACGACAAAATGCTCTGAAAAAGATAAAATATAAGACTGATGCCAAGTTAAAATTTATTCTTGATGACAACAACAATAATATTAAAAAAGATGATTGGTAGGAGTTATATGACATTTATTCGGATGATTTTTTATGTTATTATTGAAAGGTTGCGTGTGAAAATGATTTTGAACTTGTCGGTTGGTATAAACTCAAAAACAACAAAAATGTGATTGATAATATGAGATTAACCCTATCAGATATAGAAAAAGTTTTTGCTCATGTTTTATTACCACGTTTATTATTATTATCTTGGAATATCGAATCCTCGGATACTCAAGGTCCCGGTTTTTTTCCTATCAGCCATGAATCTACATCTTACGTGTACACTATTCAGATGGGTTTCTATTGGATCTTCAAACAAATTCCATTTCAACGTTACTGTATCACAACTTTACCGATCAATCAACAACTGTTTTTTTCTAAATATTCTGATTGCCCTTCTTCTAATTTTCATTTTATAATATGTGATTTAGAAATTTCACTTCTGTTGAATTTTGTGAGAATTTTTCACAATTTTAAACCTGATTTTGAATTTGAATATAATACGGGAGGTTACGATTGGAATTTTATACTATCAAAAGTGGAACAATATAATATAACGAAACAATTTAATAATATTCTTCTTGGAACGACCGATGATGTTATGATAAATACTTGTAAAACTGAGATTCGATATAAAGAACAAGATCTGGATGAGGTCATGAGAAAATATGAATTTGCGGGAATTAATATTAACAATCATTCAATAAAAGTTAATCCTACTGAAAAAATAATATATGAATATTATTATATTTCTGGCACTGTATTCTTAGATCTTCTGGTCTGGGCTAAAAAACATTTCCAACTGAGCTTAAAAATACTCTTAATAATGTTCTTGTATGTTGTGGTCTGCAAGGCAAAATTGATTTACTGTATCTTCCCACTAAATCAGATTTCAAATCAATGTTTATCTACATGAATGCGATAAAATTCAAGAACGATCTTTCAAAAATTCAAGATTTTTCATCCCAGTTGGTGTCTTTGCAAAATGTTGATTACGAATCATATATTAATTATTTTTTGGTCTCTGAAAATCAACTTGAACACTATGCTGTAGATATCATATATTACTGCAC